CCCCCCACGTAGTTTGGTGCTTCTTGTATAATCTGGATCACATTTGACTCGTTTCCAGAAGCTTCATGCAATGATGTCAGTAGAGTAAAACCACAGCAGATTTTTATAAGCCTTCCGACCTCCTCACCGGCCCGCCAGCCAGGATACTGCAGATCCTCCAAGTGTGTTGAGGAGCACATTGACTGAACATCTCCTCTATATATTCCTTCCTACATCCTCACTGACCCATGATCCAAGATACCGCACACGTCCCAAGTGGATCCTGTCCAAGCTGATTGTACATCTCCCTTATAATACCCTTCCTACAATCTCACCGGGCCGCCAGCCAGGATTCTGCAGACCCTTCAAGTGGTTCCCGTCCACATTGACTGCACATCCCCTCTATATATTCCTTTCTACATCCACACTGACCCACCCTCCAGGATACTGCAGACCTTCCAAGTGGATCCTGTCCAAGCTGATTGTAAATCTCCATTATATAGCCCTTTCTACATCCTCACCAAACCTTGATCCAAGACACTGCAGACCTTCCAAGCAGCTCCTGTCCAAGTTTAGTGTACATCTCCTATATATATTCCTTCTTACATCCTCACAGACCTGTCATCAATAATACTGCAGACCTTCCAAGTGGATCCTGTCCGAGCTGATTGTACATTCTCCATTATATATTCCTTCCTACATCCTCACCAACCAGTCATCAAGAATACTGCAGATCCTCCAAGTGTGTTGAGGAGCACATTGACTGAACATCTCCTCTATATATTCCTTTCCACATCCTCACTGACCCATGATCCAAGATACCGCATACGTCCCAAGTGGATCCTGTCCGAGCTGATTGTACATCTCCGCTATAAAACCCTTCCTACAGCCTCACCGGGCCGCCAGCCAGGATTCTGCAGACCCTTCAAGTGGTTCCCGTCCACATTGACTGCACATCCCCTCTATATATTCCTTTCTACATCCACACTGACCCACCCTCCAGGATACTGCAGACCTTCCAAGTGGATCCTGTCCAAGCTGATTGTAAATCTCCATTGTATAGACTTTTCTACATCCTCACCAAAACAATGATCCAAGACACTAGAGACCTTCCAAGCAGCTCCTGTCCAAGCTCAGTGTACATCTCCATGATATATTCCTTCCTACATCCTCACCAACCCGTCATCAAGGATACTGCAGACCTTCTGAGCAGTTCCTGTCCAAGCTAATCATACATCTCCTCTATATATTCCTTCCTACATTCCCACCGACCCTCTATCCAAAATACTGCCGACCTTTCGGAGTAGTTCCTGTCCAAGGTGATTGTATCTCTCCTCCATGCCCCTTCTCCTTTTCCCTTGTTACCCCACACTGGAAGTACTGGGGCATTAAAGTGACCCTTTGGCTTGGCCTTGCATGGTCGCAGCCCAGCTTCATATACGATTAGGGTAATAGGGAGGAAATGGTTAGTGTGAGGGTTAGGATAAGTGTCAGGTGTTGGGTAGGCTGGGATTAGGGCTAAGGGTTAAACCTCAAGTGTTTACGATAGCTAATAGATGGGGTGCTCTGG